AAGTGTTAAGATGTTAAAACACCTAACTGAAACCTTTAACAAGGAATCATGTCTGCATTAACCACAATACTTGTGGTCAGAATGCAATAAAAAAAATACTCTGATAATATATGCATTGTCTTTGAAACTGATTGGTCCACACCAGAAACAGCTTTCTTTTGAGCCTTGTCTCAAAATGGTGTTAGCCCAGATGACGCCAATCAGTTTCATACTCTATTATCAGAGTATGTTTTTTGTTTGCATTCTGACAAGTATTGTGGTTAATGCAGTCATGATTCTTTGTAAAAGGTTACAGTTTGGTGTTTTAACATCTTAACACCTATTTTGTTGCCAGAAAAAAGGGGAAAACCTATTCTCATATTTTGGTACTGGTGTAGAGGAGTAGTACGGGGATGTTACGTCATGCGTGCCTTCCGGTGCGATGACGTCGGGAAGTGACGTCATGCATGTTGGGCAGGCGATGACGTCATGTCTTCTTGAGGTACTTAAGGGGGACCCCGTGACAAAAGCAGGGATCACTGTGGCAGCCCGGGATAGAGAACGGTTGAAGAGCCAGCCAGGAGTAGAGCTCAAGGAGTCTGGAGAGAAGCCGGCGATAGGCATAGGAGATGCTGCTCTCCCCGGTCGGTCGATGTGGCTGATCCCCCGATCCGACTCGAGGGAGAGAGCCCTAGAGCTAGCTGAGCTAGGAATAGACAGAGTGCAGGGTCATGTGGAAGGACCCAGTATAGGACCCCTACCCCTGGGGAAATTTCTAAACCCTTAAAAAACCTCCGGCGCAAGCCCTTACCTGAAGACCTTCCTCCGCATCGTCATTTGCACCCCAACAACTGGTGTCGGAAGTGTCTCCAGTCGTCGTCGCCATGTACAAGTCCGGCGCGAGACGGAGAAACCCACCCACGGCGCACTTCAAGGATAACGACAGCGTGGAGGAGGGTCCCACAGCGATCCCGGAGACTGGTGCCCCGGAGATGCGCCCCGTGGAGCCGAGCCGCCCGGAGCAGCAGGAGATGGCAGCCGTGGGTGCCTCCTCACCGCTGCCGGACACCTGGAGCGTCCTTTTGAGCCAGCTGGAGCTGCCCCTCCGGACGGTCAAGCAGCTCACCATCACGGTGGCCGAGGTGGGAGAGAGGACACGCGTACCCGACACATTTTTCGAGCGGGAGCGGTGGGTTCCCGCCATTTCGGCTCCCGCCTTGCTTGAATTTGGCGCCATTTCTCCAACAGACGCGACGCGGGAGTTGGGTGCCATTTTGACCGCACCGCCGCAACACGCCGCCATTTTCTCCGCGATCCCGCAAGCGGGCACCATTTCTTACCACGACTCCGCAACTGGGTGCCATTGCTGACGCAGCGTCGCCGGTGCTCCCGCAGCGACGCCGTCGGGTGTGCCCGTGAGTGCGCCCTCACCGATGTTGACGTCGAGCGGCCAGCAGCTCCGTTGGTTGCCACCCGTCCGCCCATTCATCACGACAGGGGGTGACTGGCTGGTGTTTCAAGATCGCTTCGACGTGGCATATGGCTCGGTTGGCTGGTTAAAGGAGGAGGCTCTTCGGGCACTCCCCACATGCCTTGATGACCGGCCGTTGCAAGCTTTCAAATCCATCCGTCTGGTGGATAGGGCGTCACTTCCAGCGGCATACCAGCTGCAGAGGTGGGAGGAGGGGGAGCCACAGCTCCCTGCTGGCGCTGGCACGGGCAGCCTACCCTGACCTGGAGGGCGCAGGACTGGACTCGCTGGCCCTCGACTGCTTGGAATCTGATTGATTGCTTCTGTGGACAGGTGTCATTTATACAGATAACAAGCTGAGATTAGAAGCACTGCCTTTAAGAGTGTGCCCCTAATCTCAGCTCTTTACCTGTATAAAAGACACCTGGGAGCCAGAAATCTTTCTGATTGAGAGGGGGTCAAATACTTATTTCCCTCATTAAAATGCAAATAAATTTTTGACATGCGTTTTTCTGGATTTTTAGTTTTTGTTATTCTCTCTCACTATTCAAATAAACCTACCATTAAAATTATAGACTGATCATTTCTTCGTCAGTGGGAAAACGTACAAAATCAGCAGGGGATCAAATACTTTTTTCCCTCACTGTATATGGTATACAATCAAAACTAGGTAAAGCTTTGAATTAAATATTATTTCAAAATGTGCCCGACTGAAAGACCTCATTGAGAGCAATGCGTGTCACCACCAACCCAACCCAGCACGCACGGCTCGCATTGCAATCACCAGCGGACTCCAGGCCCCTCGAGGCTGCGGTCTAGACACGCAAGGGCACGTGACGTCCCCATTGCACCTGGAGACCTGGAACCATGGGCGGTCACGTGGTCCCTACACCCCATATAAATCGGCAGGTGCTACGCTCGGCCCTGCTGCCAGCATCCGAAAGTCGAAGTGAGCACAAGGTCTTTGATGTTAGCCGTAAAAAGTAAACTATTTTTTTTCTAGTAATCTGATTTAAAAAAAAAACATTCGGGCCGTTGAAATATATTTTCACCACCTAAATTGGATTAAAAAAATGTGTATGGAATTTTTAAAAATAGGTTTTAATTTTGTTTATTGTAGCTCACTTCATTACTTCATCCCCTGTAAGAATAAAGGCTCCTTGAACATTGCAAATACATTGAGTTCAAGTGAACGGTTTGGATCATTTTATGCTTTAAACTTTTGTTTTTAAACAATCACTGCACATTCGTCAAGAGTCGTGGTTTATTGTTGTGAAAAGATCCTGAAGCAGAAAATGACTGCTGGTTACAACCAGATTTCATAATTTGATTTGTAACTGATCCTTAGCCGTGTATCGATAGTGACATTTTTACGTGCAGTTTTATTTAGAGACTGTGTTGTCTTGGTGTGGTCTGGGGGGACTGTTTTGTTGTTTTTCTGACTTGCCCGAGCTGGCACTTAGTGTTGAAAAATCGGCAGGAATGTACATACTTATGCAATTTATATACATATCTGTCAACCCATACGGTTTACCTGTATTCTTGTATCGTGAAATTGAGTCTTCAGGTTTATATGGCATACAGTTGTTTCAATATGGGCAAAAAATGTCTGTTTCTCCCTTGTGATGAGACTTTGTAGGATGAACGTTGATATTTATAAGGGCACAGGGTGACCAATAATGTCTGAATTGGTCTGTAATTAGGTAGGCACTGATAAGGGGTTGACAAGTATATGTATATAAGTATTATATACTTTTTTCGTTATTCTCGTGACTTGCCTTTTCTCAAATTTGCACTCCAATCGTTTTTGTATTGCAAATTTCTGACCCACCCCCACTGGCTATCTGTGAAAAAGAGCTTCATATCTCATCGGATTCCTCCAGGATTAATACAGATTGTAATTATGAAATAGTATTTGAAATTGAAAGAATGTACACACATCTCCAAGGAAGATGATGCATGTAAGTGCCTGAGTGAAATATTTGTGAATCTCACAGGGGCTGTGTGAAGATGATAACTTTCGGGCTGCATACGCAGTAGCAGAAACAAGGCGATGATGGACAACAAAAGCTCCGTGCTCTACCTCGCCACATTTGTGGTCAAACTGCTGATCTCGTCAAAAGCAGCATAAACCATCGACCGCACGGACTCCAGGTCATCCTCGCAACAGCAGCAGAGGCCCTTTGGGCTAACCATCAAATACAAGACGGTCACCGCATCGCGCGCTCCTCATTCAGATATTAGGAAGCCGCTGGGAGCCGTGCACTTGCAAATCATATAGATGGACAAACTATTTCTTTAGAACTGCTTTCTGTGTTTAGTTTGTTGTCCCCCCCCGCCGCCACTCTGATTCGTGAGTTTGTTGGCTACGTACGGCGCGAAAGAAGTTAAACATGCATACAAATAACCCCCATGCCTTACCAGTCATGGGGTTGGCGGGGGGGGGGCGGTCATCCAAACATGATTTGACAAAGGGAATCAAAGTTATTGTTGACTATTGATTTCTTTGAACATCACAGCCGTTTCTCAAGCCACCGCTGGATGGATGATGGCCTCCCCATGCCGTGTCGGTCACGGAGGAAATTTTACCATACTTCACCGCGGCTCGTCAGCGGGGACCGGGGAAGGCGAGCCACTTATAGGCCCCGCATCAAACTCGGCCCAGGTTTTGTTTTGTTTTACAGCGCTGTCTAATGAGACCCATTGAGACGTATTGTTGTGTTGACTGGGACGGGCAGTTGGTTGGTCGCCGACCAAAACCTCTTCCTCTCTGAAGGTCACAAGTCAGTTGGACCACCACCGTCCGAGACTTCCCCACAAATTGGTCGCAATTTTATCGACCCCAGAAGGTGGAGATGATAGGCCGAGTCAACCCCCCCTCCCCCCCCCCCCACTCCTTACCCCCTCCAACCAGGAGTTTAACTGGCGACATTCCCACTGTGGGCATGCTCACCGCAACGCCGGGTCTCTGCGTATTAAGTTATATTTATTTTCTACTTACATTTATTCTATCGCGTTATTGCTGAGGCAACGGTATTAATGGAGGACTCATTGTGAGAACGGTGAACACTACGTTCCGCGTGCAATCGACGGAACAACTCGAGACGATCACCAACTGTGACCCCCCACCACCACCACCGCTCTTCACAAATCCCATCTTTCTGGAGTGCCAAACACTTGCCCCCCCCCCAGCTTGAGAATCGCACCCCCCTTGGGATGCGGCAAATATTACTCGGTGCACTCATTGCCGGATGAAGCTAACATTGCTTTTATGGCTTTATTTTGGTGATTTTGAAAACTTTTTTTGGTTTGGCCGTGTTTGTTGGAGTACGGAGTTAGAATGATGGCTTTAATCTAAGTTGTCTTGAGGTTGTTGTTGTTGTTGTTTGACTTGCATCCCACTGGGATTTTTGCACACAGCGTTGGTGTACGGTGCTTTTTTCTGGAAGATTTTGCTGTTTTTTTCCTGGATTTTTCTGTTTACACAGTCACATAGTCACTTTAAGATGTTTTCTTGTTCGTGTTTTTGTTTGTTGCGGTTGCACCCGATTCAAGAGCCGAATGGCTCACAGGACTATATAACATAAATTAAACTGAAACAATTTGAAGCCCCGTATCCTGTGCAGGTGCTCATATTCAGCCTGTGCCTTGCAATGTACCTAACTATAACTGCAGCCAATCTGCTGGTGCTCGTGACGGTGGCGGTGTCCACAGACTTACACAAGCCCATGCACAAATTTCTGTGCAATCTTGTGATTGGCGACATCATTGGCAGCATAGGTGGCTTGCCCAAGCAACTGCAGGTCCTCCTGACGGGCAACAGAGAGATCCTGTTCATTCCATGTGTCACACAGACGTTCACACTTCACATATTCGCCATAAATGAGATTTTAACATTGGCTATGATGTCCGTTGATTGCTACCTGGCCATCTGCTACCCATTGCACTACCACACCAATGTTACTGCAAAGAGATCCATTTTCATCGCATTACTGTCCTGGCTGATTTCAATCATTTCAGTAAGCATTCAAGCCACATTTATCCTTTCAATTACATTAAAGGAAAATAACAGGGAAATCCAGGGCATAGTCTGTGATAACGTGGGCATTGTAAGTTCAGCCGCCAATGACACCAGCGAAATAGAGGCGTATGCAAAATCCAAGATTTTCGTAACCGTTGGCTTTCCTTTCTGTGTCATTGCGTACACCTACATTCAGGTTCTTATCGAGTGCAAGAATTCGACCTCCGAGTTCAGGAGCAAAGCTCTGCACACATTCGGCACGCATTTCATGGCGCTCGCCATCTTTTTCACGGCGCTTTTCTTAGACATCCTTTTGCCGCGCTTTGTGAAGGATGCCGACAGCGAGGGCGTGAGAAACTTGAGATCCTCAGTTCAGTTGGTGTTCTTGCTCAGGCCGGTTGCGAACATATTAATTTACTGCCTCCGCACGACTGAGCTGAGACTCGCAATTAGTAAGCACTTCAAGAAGATCTCGCTTCATGTGCATTCCTGTAAAACCATCAAATCTCGCCTTTCAGGTCATTGTTGAACGAATTTTAAGATTTTAACCATTTAAAAGTCGTATACATTTTATAATATAGCCTGTTAAAGTCATAATAATTACAACTGGGGGCCTCCATTCTCACGTAGAGTATCTTGCTGTACATCCATCACAATGCTACTTTAAGATCTTCTCTACACTCTCATAGGCCTCCACTAGACACTATTAACATGAATGTATCAAGATGTATATTGGTTGAGACGATAATGTTGGATTCCAAGATACATAGCCTGTGAATTACTGGACGCAATCCTTAGAGTTTCTGTAACTATATTTGGTACTCGTAAGTTAGCTTCTATGATTTCAGTTCGTGTCGGGGTCACAAATTATTTGGTTTGCAGATGATGCGAATCATATATTATTTAGTTCATGGTATAAGCATAGGCTCGACTATAATTATGGAAAATTTTAACTTTTTAGCCAACGCTGCTGTCGTGTGCGCCGTTGATGTTGCTGTTGACGTTTTCCCAGTTCGCCGAGCGACGCGATTCTGCTCATGCGCACCAGATTTAGCAGCGTTAAAAGCAAACTGGAAAAACGGCCTTCAGTCATTAATGTCACTATGCATGGATTTGTGTCACGAACATCTATGAAAACTACTGGACATCTAAGAAAAAGAGCTTTATAACTCATTGGATTCCTCCAGTAAAAATGAATATTATTCTGTCGTTAATGAAGAACCAGGATGGAGCGGAGGCACGGTTGTGATTGTAACTCTGCTCGGAGCCCAGTAACCCGACTTTGATTCCTGGCCACGACTAACATCAGTGGCGAGAGATATTTGAACCAGTCCTTCCCCCACCGCCCAATTTCACGAACGCACACTGATCATCGTGATGAATTGGATGTCATACGTAACGTAAATTAATAGCGTCGCTGTGGTGAAAATTATTCACGTAATAAAATAAATAAGCAGACGATGTGCCCCTTTCACATGTGTCCCCACCCGGCAGTTCACCTGCATTGATCCAAGGAAGCCTGACTGTTGATGAGACACTGAATGTCTAAACCGGTCCAGAGTTTGCTTTGTGTTGAACAACTGCTGCCGAAATTACACACTCGCACAAGAACTCGCGGTGGATGGCATTTGTAAAAAAATGCTTTCACTTTTTGCTGTTGTTGTTGTGGAGGGACATCTGTAATGGCAGCGTATTGTCCGCTTGTTTATTTTGCACCTTATATTCTCCACGACGCTCATTGATTAGTGTGCATTACTTTTCTTAGCAGTCAGAATTGTGTCTTAAACTTGCGAAGGTTTTACAGTTCTTCAACCCTAACCTGTATTCAAATACATTTTGTGATGTCATTTAAACAACTCGGCAACATCTTCATAACCCGGCACAAGCAAAAAAAAACCTTTAAAAAAATGACTAATGAATCCCATTCTCTCTTTCTCCCCTGAAAGCAAACATGTTTATGCCTCGGAAACTCAACACTGGACATTCATTCCTAAGTGCTTGCAAGTGTTTTTTTTTCTTTACAGTTCCTGAGCACAGATTAAATGGCCCAAAAAGTTGACCGCCAAGCAACAAAATAGATATGAGTGAACACTTTTCTTGAATATTTGGAAATTGCATATTATCGCTGTAGTCGCGTTTATTTTTTCTCCGGGTCCTCCGGTTTGTTCCTCAACCTTTAGAAACATGCATTGAGATAATTTAGAATATTTTGCTGCTATAAATGTCAGAATTGTGGGCTACTTTGTTGAGCTATCATTTGTGACCAGGTCGCTTCGGATATATAAGTTAATGTCAGTGGGATTTGCCTGGTAGGATGGGGATGGTTTAGTTTTATTTGTATGTGTTTGTGTGATTTTTACCTTGTACTTTGCACTCCTATTATGTTTTTTTCTATTGTTGTAACATTCTTACCTGCCTCTACTGGACATCTGTGAAAAAGAGCTTTATAGCTCATCGAATTCTCCAGTATAAATAAATATTCTGATTCTGACTTCGAGTTGTAATAGATACGAGTTAACACGTTTCTTGAATGTATGTATGTGTATTGAACTTCTTTGGCAGCGTATGTAGCCAACCGTGCTAATCGGAGGTGCTAACCGAATTGAGCAAGGTTGTTAATTACAATAGCTTGGGAAAGAGAGACGATAATGGGAGGAAATTCCAAATTGGAGCAGTGTGAAGGAAGAAGCATGAAAAGTGTTTCCGCTTGCATTGTGGTGGATGAACGCAGTGTGGATTAAACGAAACAGTGCGTCTAGTAGACCGAGTCCTCTATGTTTTACCTATGGAGCTGTGTCCAAGATAATTACTCTTGGTACCACTGGAGGAAAATGCTTCCAACATGGGCAAGCATCCCCCCTTGCGACGAACCGGTACGTAACAAATTCATAGAATAATCAGTAATAATCAAATTGAAACTCGTGACACACACGTAGATTTGTGCATACGTATAATAATTGTTTCAAAGTGTTTTATTATATGTGGGCAGATTATCCAGATTGTTGGTCAACCGTGCATGTGAAAAATATAAATAAGACGTCTTCACGCGCTCGTTGGTTATATTATTAGCTGCTCTTCACCTGTCGGCAAGTAAACCCATCACTTTTTTTCTTCTTGGTTCTTTCGGTAAAGTCACGTAGAAGGGAAATAATAAAATAATACAAATAAAACATAAAATTACATTCTCACGACGTTTTGGCCACAACACAAGCAGCCGTCATCAGGTGAAGAAACAGAGCTGTTGGAAAGACAGCGCTCCAATGAACACTGCTAAGCTTGGCAGCGTATTTTAAGCTAGGAGGGAGGCGCAGGGCGCCTTGACAAATGAGTTTACATATCAGAAGAATTTAGCATTGAAGTAGCTAAGTTAATGTGAGAGATTAGCAGGATCTTAAAGTCATAATTTAGCATGTTTCTGCATTATCCTTGCTGTTATTTACTCCGGACTATTCCCCCACACCCCTATAATCTGGAGTTCACTCTGTCCGTGTCATATACATTGAATGTGCCGGACGTATGGTATTTTTGACTACAATTACCATCAGCTGTTATTATAAAAAGACAATACATTTTCGACTTGGAATCTAAATGCTACCACAACCCAAGACGCTTCATATAGCTTTACCTAAACGTCAGTCATAAACATTGCATGAATACAATCAACTCAATAAAACCTATATTAATACAATCAAATGCATAATACCCTCGGATTAAGTTTCTCAACAGATAAACCACTGTAAGAGTGACATCGACAGCATGAATTGGATATTCTAATCCAACTACGAGACTCTAGTTCCTATAAGCATCATAACAGCAAACGAACAGAATCGCTTTATAGACTGAATCATAGAGTTTGTGTTGAACCTTCGAGAGAGAGCAAATCATTAATATAATGATTGCTTGACTACAATTAACATCACAGGCGAAAGGAATGGGCACAGGCACTGGGTGTCTGCAGAATGTGTTCGACGAGGCTCAGACACTCACAATATTTTGAGCGGTCATTGTATTTTTTCAGTCCGCGTGATTGTCCAATCAACTCGTGGACATACACGCAGACGACAATGGAACCTGTGAATACACAGCACCGCATCAACGATTCGGCTCAGTACCGAGTCGGCAACCGGTAGTGGCGTAGATTTAAAATACTTTAAAGTGCAGAATAATCTCCTGCGTGGCGGTGACATTGCCTCGTGGTATCGCGCATTTGCCGCGTGTTGCAGAGGTTCAATTGCGGTCGGCGGCCGTAACTGATACTGCCGATGTAATAAACGTAAAATATAAACACCATCTCGTTTACGATGGAAAATAACAATCCGGTGATTTGAAAAGAAGGCCATTGTGTGTTGGTGTCATGGTATACATTCGCCACATTAAAAAATTACCCACAAATCACTTGGATTGCAAATGCTGGTGGACTAATACCACTCGCAGGCTGGTGCCGAGTCGCCTCCTGCTTCACAGGGACAGCTGCCACTGGGGGTCCTGCTTTGAATGTTTGAGGTGAGGTGTGATGCAAATATTACGAGTGATGAGCTGAAGGGTGAACGTCACGTATCCTACCAGTAGACTAAGCAATAACCACCCAAAACCATTCACGAGCAAGTCTGTGAGCCAGAGCAAAAATTTATACCACTAACGGTAGCAAATACTTGAGGAGTCTAAATGGCAAATAAGAGTTAATTATTTGATAACCCACTCATTTCAAATGGTTGTCACATAATTCACTGTTTATTGGCCACATTAACAAATTGGAATCACTCGAGTCATACCACTTAATGTGATACTTACAAGTGCAATGTCCTGTCTGGGCTCATGGACTAAGTTGGACATCTCCAAATACACGAACACATGTGCCAAGGTTGGAGGAATGGCTTGTATTTATATAAATTGGATACGATGTAATTACGTGCTATGAAGACAATTCCCCGAAATGCCATCTCTTACATCCTATTCCTCTATCAGGCCAGAGTGTTATTTATTGATGAATGTGTATTTGTTGTTGTTGTTACTTGTGCACCACTACCAATGCAGCATCAACAAATAATTTGTTTAATTCCATAATGTGGCTGCGCCCCAGCCTAAGGGAGTTACACTCACGATACCTACGATGCAATAGGCTCCCACAACGTCTTTTTGAATACACATTGCATGGATTTGCACGTACATAATTTTTACTTATTTATTTTGCAGACCTTTCCCTATGTTCTAACCATATGCTGCACTGTACCACAACGACCGACCAAATAAAAAAAATGTGGATGGCTCAAACAGAATTCCGGCACAGTCGTGCATGCTCTTAATGACTGCGCTTATGCTATTCCTCGAGGCATCAATTAAACCGGCAAGAGTCGAATATATAATTTGCACTAACGAGACACAGAGTATTTATAATCGTACAGAGGGACCTTCAAAATAGCACCGCAGATCTACCGACACACGCTACGCTTTGCTGTGCACTCTCTGATTTAATTGGGCACGCAGAGAGCCCTCGCAGAGCTCGTCAAGCATCGTCCTGGGTGTTCCTCAAGAAGACGGCGGGGGCTTTAAGCGGCGCACCAAGAGCCACGCTCCACCGATGGCGCTACAGACTCCTGCTGGGGCTCATTAGCACGACACACAGACCAATGCATCACCAGCCAACCTGCTCAGCCGACAAGCATACCCCTGCAACTTAAGACGCGCCGCCGCAGAATTGTTACGTCGTGTTCGAACAATAATACATCCAGCGATTCCACTGGATGTATTACTCCTCACACAGACAGTGGAGCGCGATTGGCATGGGCTCTGGGGGTAAGGAATTCAATGGGCTCCCCATATCTATATTCCGCCCCGCACCCCTCTTAACAACATCGTGTCTGGACCTCGGTGCAGTTGAACGGCTTTGAGACTCGATTGCCATTGCTTCACACATGGAACAATGCTGAATCTGCCTAACAATTGATAATAAATGCCTTCCTCGGTTCATAATTGGATTTTGGATTCCTGACTGCGCGTAAGGGTTTGTGCACTCAACCACGGCTGAAATGTTTTTAAACATGGTTTAAAGCTCAATATTTTAAATGGAATTAAGTGATTTAAGATTAAATAGTATTACACTCTTTGGTTCTTTCGGTAAAGTCACGTAGGTCGAAAAAAATCACGACGTTTCAATCGCAACACAAGCAATCATCATCAGGTGGAAAGATACAGCAGTAGAACTGCTGAACAGGAAAGAGCTGCTGCAACACGAGATTATATAGGTTTAAGGTGGGTGTCACCCAAGGGTAAGCAGGCGGGGCCAGAGATGGCAAGGAGTCCCGTCGCCGCACGCACGCACAGCAGCTGCGTTAAAGGGAGAGACTGGCCTGTTAATGCATACGAGTTTAATGGGAAGATAGCATGTATGTGACAGAGGACCGGGCATAGCGCCACCTTGTGGGAAACACAAGCTGCGGCGTTGGCTGCTGCACAGTGAGAGGCCAGCATATCAACGCAAGAGAACCACCGTAAACTTCAAATCAAGATTAAATTTATTCACAAACATCTTTCACCTGAAAAATAATTTCAGATGGAACACTTAATTTGCAGTAGTGTCCAATGTTATGCTGCCCTGATCCTGCATCATGTTGATATGCCAGTTATCATGTTGACCCAGATCTCGCTGAGAAATGTAAGTATGTTGAACTGCTTTCCCATAGCTCATTGCCCTCTACTGCATATGGATTAAAAGCAGCAGATTAAAGATGTAATTTTTGATTCATAAATTCAGTTGTCTTAAAAGAAGCAAAGTGGATCTCGTCCATTCCTCCTTTAAAGAAGTGAAGACAGCAGCGGCGGAGTGTTTACGATGCGGTCGATGGTTTGGGATTCGTGGCCGCACTCACAGGCCACCAAATCTTTGACGCGCCATTTGTGCATCGGGTGGCCGCATCGGCCACACAGCCCGGTCCTGTTTTAGTTGATGGTCGACCATTTGCGGCGTGGAAAGTTCAAACCGGAGGTTCGACGGTAGGGTCCTGTACAAGATGTTTATTTTTTTACGTCGGCTGCAGTCCAGACTTGCTTGCACCTCTCACCTTAATTTGTATGTGGCGTGGAATGAGGCCGCTGCTGTGATTCAGAAGGGGTGGCGTGATTTTAGGCAAACGGGCAGCGCTGGGTTTACGTCCCAATGTATCGGAAGGTGCGGTTTGACGAGCATTTTTTGGTACTCCCCTTACATTCAAGTTTATTTTTTTACAATGTTTACACAAACCTGTGCTAGTTTACACTATCCCACTAAAACATCTATTTTATACTAAAACAGGGCCTTGATGTTGGAACGTATGGGAAGCCAACGACCATACTTTTGCAATTTTCACATTGGCCCCTTGAAGTGACGACTGATTCTGGGAGTGGCTAAGCTAAAATAATGTAGCTCCATTTGGAAAGACAACTTAATGTGAGCCACTTAAAGTGGACCATGTGGCCCAGTTAGTACCAGGAGGGCCCAGTGTTGTAGCCCGCATGGTCATCCACCGCATGCCCAAGCAACTTCTTGTTGGCCAGATAGAGGGGGTTATACAAGCGTGGAATAGGTTAAAGAGATGGACTGCGGTACAAAAGGACACGGGGCTGATCTGAATCGCGGCAATGACTGGTACCAGATCAGCCTCTGTGAAGGAGAGTCGTGAACGATGCTGCTGGGCAGTTGGAGGAAGTCGCCCTCCAGCAACAACACAAGGGAGAGGAGCGATCCTCAACAACGAGTGGAGCTCCAGGCGGCTGGCTGAAACACAGCAAATTGGCACAGTGGGGAGCACAGGTGGTGCATCTGCCAGTCATCTCAGTAAGTCAACCCATTAAACCTGCAGTCTATCCTGTGACCTGCCAGCGAACCTTCGACACATTCCCGTGGTATTAAGGTGCACCGAGCCTGGCACAAGCGCCGTGGTGGTATCACCACCACTTAGTGATGAACAGTGATTGTTGTTATGAGACCTCTTTTGCCAGTAACAAGATATAGTAATAGGTTTTTACCCTTTTAGCTGGCACACAAACTGACACCTTTATACAAGGGATCATGTTTGCAATAACCACAACACAAGCAGTCAAACATGCAAACAAAAAGAGACAACTCTGATAATGATATGCACTGTCCTTGAATTTGATTGGTCCACACCCGAGACGGCTTTTCAAACATGATCCCTTGTATAAAGGTGTCGGTTTTTGTGCCAGCTGAAAGGGTAAAAACCTATTACTATATCTTGTTACTGGCAAAAGAGGTCTCATAATGTAAAGGCTTACCCTGAGCTCTCAATACTCTGATAGTGCGCTGTTTTTGAGTTGTACGCCTTTTGGTGTCATCTGGTCCAACACCAGTGGAGACTAGGCTCTAAGAAAAGCCGTCTCGGGTGTGGACCAATAAAATGCAAGGACAGTGCATATCATTATCAAAGTTGTCTCTTTTTGTTTGCATTTTTGACTGCTTGTGTTGTGGTTATTGCAAACATGATCCCTTGTATAAAGGTGTCAGTTTTTTTCTGCCAGCTAAAAGGGTAAAAACCTATTACTAGTGATTGTTGTTGTTGGGGGTATACGCCAACAGTAGTCGCCGTGGTGACGTCACCATCACTTTGGAGCAATAGGGATGGGTGAGGACAATTGGGGTGGGGACGATAGGGGTGGGTGAGGACAGGAGGGGTGGAGACAATAGGGGTGGGTGGAGACAATAGGTGTGGGTGAGGACAGTAGGGGTGGGTGGAAACAGTAGGGGTGGATGAGGACAGTAGGGGTGGGTGAGGACAGTAGGGGTGGAGACAATAGGAATGGGGACAGTAGGGCTGGGTTAGGACAGTAGGGATGGGTGGAGACAGTAGGGGTGGGTGGAGACAATAGGGGTGGGTGGAGACAATAGGTGTGGGTGGAGACAATAGGAGTGGGTGGAGACAATAGGTGTGGGTCAGGACAGTAGGGGTGGGTGGAGACAGTAGGGGTGGGTGGAGACAATAGGGGTGGGTGGAGACAATAGGTGTGGGTGGAGACAATAGGGGAGGGTGGAGACAATAGATGTGGGTGAGGACAGTAGGGGTGGGTGGAGACAGTAGAGGTGGGTGGAGACAATAGGGGTGGGTGAGGACAATAGAGGTGGGTGGAGACAGTAGGTATTTGTGTGATGACTTCACGAGAATGACCAACATTCATCTTAGTATAATAATAATTGTTTTACCGTACTGTTTATACGCTCTTGATGTCTATGCTCCTAAGCCTTCCGCCAACAAGCAATGGCTAGCACAGTGAAGTATCAAACAACTCCCACGACCCGCACGGCATTGTCAGCTTCTCATCCAGCAGCGGATTGACAACAAGGCTGTGCATGTACAGAATGATACAAGTAGCACCAACTCCGCTTTTTGTACAACATATCCGCATTTTAGTTATATCGGCCCTTAGGTACATCATGCACTTCAATGGTTTGCTTTGATTCAAGCTAGGCCGTAATTATAATATATAATAATATATTATAATATAATATATAATTATAATATATATTGGGGGGGGGGGACACATCCCCCCCAATATATTGCTATAAAAATAATTGCGATGCTATGTAAATAAAATAAAAACAATTTGCTAAACCTTGCCCACAATATCTGGACTTGTCTTCATATAAATCAATGCATAGATGTATGTTTATATGATTGTGGTTATGGTTGTACTTTATTAACCCTAATCTCTGCCATTACATACAATGAAACAAGAAATGGTAAAAAAGTAAAACAGAGCAATGTAATACAATACACTATTCGACATTATTGTAAAAAATAAAGAAAAAGTCCATCCCATGTGTTAGTGATTAAAATATTTTGGGCAGGAAATTAATTTTCAAATCAGATATTTTTCTGGGTTGGGACCCCCAGACACCCTGGAAGATTTGGTCCCCCCCAATATTGACTCCATGGCTACGGCCTTGAATTCAAGTGCTGTGCTCAGAACACGGATTCTCAACAGTACACCAAATGAGTGAAATCAGTTTGAACCGAGCATAATTATGCTGCCCATTGTGTTGATGGTGTGCGTGGCCATTAGGAGCGTGGGATATGGAATGTGTGGCGTGTTTTAGTGTCCTAGTCGGTGTACTCACCATTACACCACGGCAGCATCCCTGTGCATGGTGGGGACAATGCGATGTGATTGCTCATTGGTTCTGTACTGGAAATGTGGCTTTCTCCGACTTGTATTTTTTTCCCATTCCCAGAAAATACACCATGCGGATGACTGCCAACACACAACCACCGCATACCTCCGAAACACAAACATTCCAAACGATAAAGCCTACCATACAAATGATTAAAAGTTGCTAAAAATAGCCGTTCTGTCTTCGGCGCAATCAAGCCGCGTTTTTGCCAGGACCACTCAGAATTAAGTTGGCTTCCTTGACACCACAGGGGCAGAGCGCGGCCGTGTAATCCCCAGTGACATCCAGTGGTTAAAACCAGCCCAGCCAATTTGCAGAAGGACTGCGGTGGATTAAACGGTTATCGCGGAATAACGCCAACCCGCTCCAGTGGTATGGAATGCTTGGCAGTCACATGACAGCCCAGAGCATATATAAGTGTCTCAACCCAGCACATTGGGTTTGCACAGACAGAACGCGTGGCGCTGGGTGAGTTCATTAATGCGTGCATTTGTGTACGTGGGGAGGTGTGCGTGTTAATTTGGGGAGTGGTGGCCTCAATGTAAGACCACTTTGCTCTGAACGTAGTGATCCGAGTTGAATTTCTGCATGCAGCTTTTATCAGTGGCTAATGTCTAAACCTTGATTCAGCCTTATGTGATACAGTTTTGCATATGAATGGATTATTTAATTAAAACATCTGAATATGTGCTTAGATTGGAATTAAATGACGTGAATTTACTTTTTATTTGCTTTTCTTCCATAGGGTAATAGCAGAGTGTAACAGGAAAAACATAAATAAATTAGTTCATAACACAATGAACGATACATTGTATACAAATGTGCCAATCAATATGTTATTATTCGGCACTCTTCTCTCACGAAAATTCACGAACGACAGTGAGGCCCCGTTCAGCGGAGACAATGGGAACATCACGAATGGCTTTTTTCTCAACTCATTTGGAATGGCCGGAAACTTAAACTGGATCATTTTTACAGGGTGCCTCGTAATGCAATTATTCATAATTGTAGCCAACTGTCTAATGATGGCCACCGTCCTGATAAGCTCGGAGCTGCACGGGTCCATGTACGTCCTCCTGTGCAGCCTGGCAGTGGCTGACATCACCGGCAGTGTGACCATCATCCCCAAGCAGCTGCAGATGCTGGCGAGCGGCAGCAACGAGATTTCCTACGTGGCTTGCATGGCCCAAGTCTTCTTCATCAACATGTATATGTGCAACGAAACGCTCTCCCTGTCCTTCATGTCAATCGACCGATACCTGGCCATTTGCGAACCCCTGCGCTACCACGCCATCTTCCCCGTGAAGAGGTCGTTGCAAATATTGGCACTGGCTTGGTTCTCCACGGCCGTCGTTAACGCGACTCTTTCTGTGCTCATCGCGAGGCTGCAAATAAACGAGGACAACAGATTCATCGAGAGCCCGTTTTGTTACAACATGGCCGTTATTCTCATAGCTTCCTCTGACACAGGTGCCAGCCATAAGTACTTGTCGGCAATCCTGTTGACCTTTGTGGGTCTGCCACCTCTAACGCTGATGTACTCCTTCACCAAGGTCTGCTTTGAGTTCAGGAAACCAACTTCACCTAAGCTGAGCAAGAAGGCCAGAGACACGCTGGTAACTCAGCTGATTGTCACCCTCGTTTATTTCATCTCCATCGTGACTGCAATCCTCCGACTGCGAATCGCGAAATTTAACAACAGCAACGTCCACTTCAGGAACATAAATCACACCCTCAAATTTTCCATCTTCCTGCAACCGGTGGCGAACATTGTGACGTACTGCCTGCGCGTCACCGCTTTGAGGAGAGCGATGGTGAGATCTTGTCAGAAATGTGCCATTGGCATTCGTTGTCTTTTGCAGCCTCAGAGAGTGTGGGCTGCAGTCTGAGGTTGGTTATTGGAAAAAACATGTTGCCATTATTGAAGGAGGCACATCTCACATGGCTCTGAATTTACGAAGCCACATCCGTTCATTTAGACAACTGCGCAACGCTGCATTGGACAACTACGATCTAGAGAAAGCTTGAATTCGAAGTCTTTATAAACCAAGGTTCAGTTCCGTCATACAAATAATCATCTGAATGCCCCATGGAAGTGGATGTGCAATACTTACCCTCAAGGATCCTTCACTTGCTCCAGGTATCCAAACGACAGAGGTTGCAATGAGCATTACAGATGATGCAAAATTGTTACTTATTAGCGTTCGGTCACAATACTATGCAGCTTTCACTATAGTCGAGCATGAAACTTTACAAAAAATTGTATAACTATATGAAATGTTACCCTGGTATATGGCAAATCAGAGTCAAAGTGATTTATCTTGAGCGTGAGGCCTGTTTACAGCCCTGAGCCAGATGTGTAAATTCCACATGCATATGGCGGGGGATAGTTTATACATAGGTCTACCCCTGTTGACCCCACAAAGTTGTAATTGTTTTGTCGAACCCAAGTGCGAAATATAAAATGACTTTTTAAAACAGACGAGTCAAAATATATATATTTTTTTCAGGAGGTCCCTGCATTGGGGTGTTAAGTCAACAAGCAATGACATTGCGTTTTCAGCTGCGGGAATAAACCAAAAAACCTGGAGGAAACCCACGCCGTACAGGGGGAGAACGCACACATTCTACAAAAACGGCGTGCGAGCTATGTTAGGAACCAACCCCAGGTCTTTCTTGCCGTGAGGCACAATTGTTAGCACTGCACCACCCAGCTGCGTGAAACCATAACCAGGATTTGAACTCGTAAGCTTCCAACTGCACCACCGCGCTGGGAGTAGCACATGTAAAGTTGATTTTTTTAATCATGAACTTTAAAATTGACACCTGTGTTTATGAAAATTAGCTTTAAACAATGCATGTTAAAATCGGACGTTTAAGCGTGCTCAATAAAGATATCAATTACTGGTGTGTTTTTTTTTCTTCTGTTGATTACAGTGCTTGGGGTTTCATACGGAACGAGCATTCCGTGAAATGACACCGAATGGTTATTTTGCTTTCACCGCCCTCATCCTCTGACTATGCCCTCCCCTCTCTCTGTTCATGTCCTCCTCCCCTGGGCTGTAATTAGAGATGCTGACACCAAGGCAACCTGGACTGCGACCATGACAATTACCGCATTTGTTTTAATTTCAAAACCCGCAAGGGCGGGGGATATATTGTATCTGCATTGCACTTGAAAAACATTGCCCTCCTTTCAGTTGACAATGGGGCACTGGATTCCTAACTGCGAATAAGAAGTGTTTTTGTGCTCAACCTCACCTGAATAATAATAAACACATGAATGCGAGGTACAGCTCAAAAGACTCTCGGAGGGATATTTTGGTCGTCAAGTCGCTTTCGCCCTGTCTACTGTCCCCGCCAACCCCCACCTACTGTACCCACCCACTGTACCTGCCCACCCCGCATACTGTACCCCTACTGTCCCCACCCCACCCACTACTGTACCCACTCCCACTGTACCCACCCCCACCTACTGTCCCCACCCACCCCATCTACTGTCCCCACCTCCAACTACTGTACCCACCCACTGTACCTGCCCACCCCGCATACTGTACCCCGACTGTCCCCACCCCACCCACTACTATACCCACTCCCACTGTACCCACCCCCACTGTACCCACTCCCACTGTACCCACCCCCACCTACTGTCCCAACCCCCACCTACTGTACCCGCCCACCCCCACCTACTGTCCCGACCCCCACCTACTGTACCCGCCCACCCCCCACCTTTTTCCCCCACCCACCCCCACTTAATGTCCACGCTCATCACTCCCCACTGTACACGCTCAGCCCTACCTATTGCGCGCCACGGTGGCTATGAGATGTAGACTGCCTTGCCCGGTTCACAGGAGGTCGTGGGTTCAAACCCAACCCTGACGCCTGCTGTATATTTGGAGTTTGCGGTTTCTCTTTCTCCCTGTGGATTTTTCTCCGGGTCCTCCGGTTTTCTCCCTCCACATTTAGAATGAGCATCACGCGTTTAGAGTGTTTGGCTGCTGGTATAATTTCCCACGTGATGATAAGCCACTTCGTTGAGCTATCACTTGTGGTCATGTCGCTTCTGAAAAGAGCTACATAGCTCAGTGGATCCTTGCCTGGTAAAATAAATAAAAAATATGTTTAGTCCACACCCACCCCTACTTAATGTCCTACCAATTACTGAAGGTGTGGGGCCTAAAAAGGAAAGGAGCTGAGCCGAAAGTAGCAAAGTCTCACGAGGAAGATGTGGGACCAAAGGAATGGGGATGCGGAGCCTAAATAGGAAGTGGTGGGGCCTACTGAGGTAATAAGAACATATCTAGCCGGTGTGGGTTTACCAGTGATGTTTCGTATATATATAATTTTACACTCGGAAGCATGTTGCAGTCCAGAGGTACCAGGTATATGTTCCTGCATCTGGCTGCTGCACGCTGCGTATTCGGGTGTTCTTGCCACGGTAGTGATGTATGTTGCTTGCCACATGTTTGCTCTCGTGTGAGGTGAGGGTACGCGAGAAGCAGTTAAAATAGTCGCGTTCATGGGTGTATGTTGCTTGCCACATGTTTGCTCTCGTGTGAGGTGAGGGTACGCGAGAAGCAGTTAAAATAGTCACGTTTATGGGGCCCCTATGCCACGCTGGGCAGGCTGAAGATGTTTAAGCATAAACATCATTGAGCTTGGCTGCGTAAGGTTACATTAATATTTTATGAAGCATAGACTGTCAATACGTGGAGACAGGTAGGGGTTCCAGGCCTTGTATTCCACCTCCATCACGCAGTGCGCCCTTGTGGTGCCACGACAGCGAAGCCGCTCTGTGGGAGCCGTGCCAGCAGCGGGGGTGCTGCAGCGGAGAAGTCACCCGGCTGCCGTCACAGCGCTTCCCCCACCACCCTCCACATGAACACACACATGCACTCACGTAGGGCCTCGTGGGGGGGTCACCTGCACCTGAGTTTTTACCCGAGAGCCCCCCTCGTGGGGAGTGCTCCACGGTTTCTCAGGGCCAGGGAATTGGCAGACCCCCCCCCCCCCCGCAGGCCGAATGACACTGCGGCGCCGTGGATTAACTTAAAATTGTATTGCCATGGCGAACTCACTGAGAACCGGAATGAGGAAACACCCAAGGCACACGCGGATCGGCAGGCGGGTGGGGAGTGGGGCAGAGTAGCGAGCAACAGGAAGGCAAGGAGGGGGGGGGGGGGGCTCGTCTCCGCACCACGTGTGCAGGGACCTCGCCGTGGCACAACGTGTGTTGGGGCGGTTGTTGAGGAGGACCTCTATGCCGTGCACTTGGTTAAGCAATAGGGGGCGGGCGTCGGAGAGGGGGTGGATCTGATTGGCAGAGAGCGGGAAATCCGAGGCTCCTGATTGGATGAGAGGCCATCAGATCGGCGGCGCATGGGCTTTGAAGTGGGGGAATAAAAAGGGACGAAAATGAGAAGCAAGCTCTCTTTGTGTTCGGGGAATTCTGGAGTGAGGGACCACGGAGTCATCGTCCCCTGCTACTCGAACGTCCGTGAGACGGGTCGCAGAGCAGCCAGGTCCAGTTCCCAGCCAAAGCCACGTGCAGCCTCGCCTCTCTGCGACTACTTACACCTCGAGAGCGGATCGTAAGTACGGAGGAGAGAGGTAAGGCCAAGGGGGGAATATCCGTTAAGGAGAGTGAGTAGGGAGAGACCAGGCAAATTGGGTCCTAGACCGACGGGAGATAGGTTAGACCTGCCCTGCTGACCCACACTGACACGGGTAGATTAAACGTCATTAAACGGAGAATAAATCGCCAGTAGACATTAAACCTTGTCGTGTTGTTTCTGCGAGTACGGAGAGGGGTACACGGTGTTGTGAGCCTGCTCACTGTGGTTTCTTGCGTTTTCGCATGAGCGTATATTTTGCCCGCGTATGCGCGCTCACCGTGCACGTTAACCTGCGCATTGTGGTGTCCTGTGTATTTTGCCCGCATGAGTACTCTCGCCACTGCGCAGCTCGTGGTTGGCGTGTACGAGAAGGGCACAGCGGTGTATTTGCAAGGTGGTTAGTACAGCTATTTAAATCATGCCACGAGGGGCAGCCGTGAGGGAGGGAGAGTCGGAGAATGGTGGGTCACAGGTGAACGGGGAGACGGGGGGAAGTCTCCCCAACAATTTGGTGTCAGAAGTGGGATGAACCCCCACAGCCCCACGGGAGAGAGACACGGTACTCCACGTGAAAATAAGATATGCGTTTACAGGCACAGGGACCCCTTCATGGAAAGCGTTTGCCCGCAACATCATAGGGGCTAAAGAGCTTAATGGTTGGACGGACGCGCAGGCATTACGACAACTCACTATTAATCTAGACAGGCGGGCAGCTGATTTTGTGGAGGCGCTACCCGCAAGCACCCAAACCCAGTTAGAAGAGTTGATGCACCAACTCGACCTATTCTTCGGCACGCGTAATGTGAGACAGGCCAAGACGGCCATAGAGGCGCGCCGCCCCCAACCCGGCGAGGACTTTCGCGATTACGCCGAAGACGTGCGATCGCTAACACGGATCGCCCGTCCAGAGTTCGCGACAGAGGTGATTGACGAGCTGGCCACCGACAAAATCCTCCGGTATTTAGCCCGCACCGCGTGGTGGCAGACCAAAGTGGGTAGTGCAAGCCTCCCCTTTAATATCCTCGTCGAGCGCGTGCTTGAGTGCGAGGAGCTTGCCAGTGAGCGCGCGCAGCTTCGAGGGCTGGGACGAGAGCACACCATCGCGAGCCTACTCCCAGAGGAGGAGGAGGAGGAGGGGCGCACCAATACGGGAAGGGGTCGGGCAAGGGAGCCTCCAGAGCCCCGCGAGACAACCCCAGGATGGGTAGCAGGGCTACAAACCGGCATGGGGGATATAGCCGGCCAGGTGGCCCACGTACGCGAGGAAGCGAATAGAAATATGAAGGCCATCCAGTCTGAGATGGGTGAGCTGCGCTCCACAGCAGGGGGGCTAGCCGGACGGGTGTCCCAGTTAGATTCCGACCTTGGACAGCTGCGTACTGGAAGGGGGAGAGGGAGTGGGCAGGGGGCATCCTATTGGGCCGCCGCACGGGCATGTTACCTGTGCGACCGCCGAGGGCACCTCATGAGGGACTGTCCTCAGGTCGCCCGTACTAGATATGCGTCGGGGTTAAACTCCAACGCCCCCTAGAGAGTGGACCAACTAGGGGTGCAATCAATGCGGTCCCAATACAGAAAGATGATAATAATGGTGAGCGAGTGGCCTCCACACAGATCCCGGCAACAGCGCCTAAGAACGCGGCGACTCCGGGCGACTGGTTACGGGAGTTAGTGGCGGGGATCACAGGAGCAACGTCGCTGGTGGAGGGACAGGTAAACGGACAGCGTACCCGGATTCTACTGGACACGGGGGCGGTGGCCTCACTCGTGAGCGCCACACACTGCAGCGTGGTCGGGGTGGACATGGGCCACCTGCAGGCCCTGGATTGCGCGCTGCACACAGCGAGTGGAGCCGGGATGGAGTTGCTAGGAAGAGTCTCCCTCGAGGTCCGTCTCGGACACCAGGTGTGCACCCAGGAATTATATGTCTCGAGTGTGTTGTGCCATGAGTGTATCGCAGGTACAGACCTCCTGGAGAAGCTGGGGCTCAACGTGCAGCCCTGCCAGCGATGCGCCACGGTGGAAGGCAGCGGGGAGCGGATTCTGTTCCTGGGACAAGAGCCGAACCGCCCTCGCTTCACACCCATGGCCGCTACCATAGTGTCGGCCGTCACCATCGGATCGCTCGCCGAGATGCTGATGCCAGTGGCAACACCCTCC